CTTATGCGACATTATACCTATACGCCTTAGTTCACTGAGCCACCCGTATCTCCTTTACTGACGATAAGATAACGTCGTCTGTGTAGGTTCACATTGGAAGCATTTTGTGACTTTGTCACATCATGTTATCCTACTCCCCTCTGCATAAAAAAAACATTGTTCGCTCGTGTAAGGTCATAAAGAGATGTTTTGTTCATGTCATCTAAACAGCACCCAAACCATGCTCTCAAACTCAGGGATCGACCTTCCCTGAAACATGCGTCACACCCGTAACTGCCCTGAACTCCCTGATCTTTTCAAGTGGTTTATATGCGTGGTTTCCATGGTGAGGTTTCGGGTGAGAGTGACACGAAGCAGGTGTTGTTTCAATAACTGGTGGTGTTCAGGGATTGAGGGATTTTTCATGAATATATATGAAGATGAGCGTAACTTGTTTGTTCACATACAGTAAACAGTGTGGTTTGTCCACTTATTTTGTTGTGATAAAATGAGCTAGTATAATACCCTTGCAATATATTTCCTTTGTATTGTTGCTATAGGTTCTTGCAACGCTGCTACAATGATGTAATATCACTATCAGGGTCGTACATGTAATCATTGAATGTACAGTAAGCTTCCTGTGATATTTACAATGTTACGTAGTTGTTGTATGACATTGCATTGTTAGGTGTATCCATTTCACAATGATACTCGGGGAAGTATTTTGTCAACTGAAAATTAATCATTCATATGACAGGTGTGGTTATTATTGCGTGACACATGCAATATATCTTCAACACGTGTCGACGAATGTTTGTATCAATAAGCTCACAATTCATGAAAGAAACAAAACAGCAAATAGTTTGTCTTTGTATGAAATCGATTTTATATTACAGGCTGTTTCGTCAAAGGAGGGTAATGTCCGTACTAAGCCAAGAAAACCAAGACACGGAGTCACCCGATGTATTTTAGTCGCCTCTTACAACCAGCATAGTTTGTTTGTAAACTATATTTTATCCCTGAATCCTCAATGAATTAATCTTTATTGGGAAACCATAGTATCTTGGCACTTTTGGCACATGAGTGCAATAGATTAATACAACAAAAAATATTCATCTGGTCTAACTATTAATCAGGTGTGTTTTGAATCCAGTGATCGTGTGGACAAGTCACAATGTAAAGTCCCTAAAGTAGGTAAACACACACAAACACACTTCTCAATGGGCTGCTACATACTTCCTCAATTCCAAACACAAAACCAATTTATTTTGTTACAAATGAAATAAAGTTCGTAGTTGTATTAGTCTGAACTGACCAATTGACCTAACGGATAGAAACAACTTATACATGTATGCTTAACTCTAATCTGAAGGCACAAAGTAGAATATTTTCAAAACTGTAACTTTAACAGTTGCCGTCCTACTCATGCATGCACAAGTAGCGCTAGAACTGAACATTGATAACGTCAGATCAACATGAACCGTATATTTAACAGGAAGTACATCGTCAATGTTGACCTATTCAGTAGAGTACTACGATAACGTTCAGATAACACTATTCATCCGTGATATTAGTAACAACAGCACTTGCTTACGAGGAAAGTCAGCTCTATTTATTAAACAATTGTCATAGAATCAACGCAAAGGTGTGGCGAAAATTTATTCATATTGATGTGTCCTTTATCCTGCGTGTATAATAAATGTTTCGTTATCTCTATGTGTGAGCTACTATAGGGTGAACGAGGAAGTTCACCAAGCACGGTTTTAAAATTACTTGAACTCTTTCCCATGCCATTTACGTACTTCAACGATACTCATACACCCGAACATGTCATAAGTGAGAACATTATATCCACGTTAACTCAAAAGAGGGAGTGAGACATAAAACCAAAGAATATCAATTTATAATTATCTGATACAAAAAAGTAAATATGGCATTTGCAAAATCATCCACAATTTATTGATATCAACACATTTTTATGCTAAACATTTGAAGAAACAATATAGTAATGCATTTTGATACAGTTATTTTGATGAGGAAGTTTGCTTCGATTCACAATACAACATTATGTGTTTAAGAAATGATCAATTCAGTTCAGTGCATTTGATTATCTCGTTGTCCACATGTTTTTAACAAAGTGCATCATATCCTAAAAAAACAAAACATAATTCAGTTCCACACAACATTCAACGTCTAAAGAATACCTGGGTTGATCGGGGAAATAGCATCCGAATTTATGAAGCATAGTAGAAACGAGAATTCGTTTTTCAATTGATATTATGTTGCAGGAATAAAACCATCTAGCATGTTCACAATAATTGTTAACCCGTAAGCTGACGTGAACACAATGTTATATCATGCATGTGCATTAGAAGAAAAAAAATGTACAGAACAAAACACAAGTGATTATAAATGTAGTGATGGTATACAACATGTCTATAATAATATAAGAAATCCATATTGCACTCGAGGGTAGGGGGTGGCAAGCAATAAATTCAACCCTGGTATCCTCCTCAGCGAAGATACACGAGTACAAACCGCCTCATTGGATTAAACGTCATACTTGGCAAAGAATACACCCAATCCCTCCAGTAGAAATACACTCACCCAGCTGCCATTCCCAACCCCAGCATTAGATACTTCTGTTCTAATACGACTTATTTTTTTTATGATTCTATTATTTCAGTCTTAATTCTGTCTATGACTGCTTGAAGGATATATAATTATTTCAACGTTTTAAAAACAGAATATAACAACGTTCAATTATTGATTTCTTCACAACTGTCAAGTAACATTGCATTTCATGCTTGAAAATAACTTTACATGTTATCAGTCCTGATTTAAAACTTAATATTCCTGATAAATGATCACTTACAATGTTGACCAATCAACTTTATATTAATTGCATTTTTTTTACCTTTTATCTGCTATATGATGTAATTATGGGTCATATTATATGCAATATGTGCATGCGTCCGAAAAAAATATGAAATATAAACTTAGAAAAAGGTGCGGTGAGGTGAAATGTGGTTGAACAGAACAGTCCGTGATTTATCCCCTTAATGCTGAGCGCCAGGCAGGGTAACTGCATATTCCACCTTTTATAGATCGAACTACCGCCCTTACGGTCTCCGAGCAGACGCTATATCCACCAGACCACGGAGACGGTGTAATCTTCTAAACGTATATTTACCTTCTAATGTATCCATTAAAGTTAAAAGAAAAGTGCGATATAAAAAAGTGAATAACAAATAAATGAAAGAAGTGAAGTGCAGAGTCGCTTGTCTTGTTTCATTCAATATCTCATATATTTTTTTGTACGATAAGTTTAACGCCGCACTCAGCAACATTCCGGCAACAAGACAGCCGCCTACTTGTTATCGGACCCGTGAAGATTAGGGTTAAAATAGGTCTTCAGCAAAAGGCGACAATGCTTGTAGTAAGAGGCGACTAACGGGATCGTGTGGTCAGGCTCCCTGTCGAGGTTGATGCGTGTCATAGTATCACAATTGCGTAGATCGATGCTCATGGTATCAATCACTGGATTGTCTGGGCAGGCTGGCTTTTTTACAGACCACCGTCATATAGCTGGAATATTACTAATTGTGCAATTAAACAACAAACAAACACAACTTAGAAGTCTGGAACGGATAGTTCAGTGATCGACATAAGATTTGACAATCCACACCTTCGAGGTTAATAATCAACTTAGTCAACGAGCCTGACCACAGGATTCAAAAAGTAGCCTCCTTCCTCTAACATAGGTTGCTTGGAACCAAAGGGGTTTCAGTTTGCAAAAATAACTCCACTATTTAAACATTTACACACATGTACATGTGTACGTCTATACACAACAGAAAAAAACATATTTACATGGCAAAACCAATTTAGCAGGAAGCTATGAGCGGGATATGAGATGTTGTCGTACCTGGAGGAAATGCAGATCCATAGCTAAGATCACCTGCATCCTATCAGGCTGTTTTCGACCAACCTCCATAACTGGAACCTTAACTTGCACATATCGATTCTTTAAACCCGACAGCCTTTACACTTTAGATCAACAACTGACGGTGAAGATTGTAAATAGTATCCCCCATAAAATTCCAGGTGTGTTCTACCTACACTGATATTCCTTTTTTATTAGTTACCCTAAGAACAAACACATTTAGATATGATCCTAATTTAAATATTTAAAATAGCAAAGAACCTGCAGTCGATAACCAAAACAATTAGAATGCGCATGTTAGAGATAAGGTATGTGAAAGGCAGGGAAACATTAATCATCTCGAACAGAGAAAGCATTGGATTACAGCCTCTATATACACTGACGTCCACAATAAACTATACCATTACCTTGATTAACCATTGATGAACATCCTAAACATGCTGCATGCTCAAAAGACATAAACATATTAATATCAGTGGTGCTTTTTCGTGTTGCAAAAAAAACAAACAAAAAAAACGCCGAAACACTTCAAGTGACAGTGACCCAAGACACAGGTAGGGCAAATGTGACGAGCCACAATGTCCACCGACAGTTTGTAAAGTCTCTGCAAAGGCAGTATACTTTGGATTAAATAAAATACATATCAGCGCTTATGTCCACATCCTGCATCAATTCACGGCACAATACGTCGTCGCGGGTCTCCGTTGCCATTCACAAAGGAGAGAGCGCTCAAAGTCAGGATGCTAGACTAGCCTTAAGATGTGCCTGTCACTAAGATCACTGCAAATCTGCCCTCAATCAGAAAATAAGCATTGTCCCAAGTCCCAAAACTGCCAACGTCAGCGTTGGGGAAGACACTGTCGACTGCAACGATGTCCGAGACTCGTCGATGCAGATGTCGTCGGGGAATGAAACTGTTTCCGAGATGTACAACACGCAAGTGACGTCGTTGAGTGGGCTTGTTAACATGCACCCTTCCACTCATATGCGTGTGTGCTCTCTTCTCTCCATTGGTAAACAGCAATATGTTTTGAGTATTTCCTATTTTACGCAACATTCAGTAATATTACAGCAACACCACGGAGGTAAAATAATCAAGTATTGGTCAAGCCAACCCGATACAGAAAAAATGGACATCGTCCCACATCATCGAGGTACATAATAAGATAAGCCCAAGAAGCTGACCACCGACTCTATAGACAAGCTGTAGATTGCCGCGAGGCTATTCTACCGAGACTACACAAGGAGAGCTCCTGATATCAATATGTGGAAATAATAATGTCTCTCTTTAGGGGCGGTTTTGATACACATTATTTGTTCCGGAAAATAGAATGAAAAAACAAACAAACTTATTTTTGTCGTGAATTTTTTTTGAATTGTTTGGTTCCTCCTCACACAACAAGACCGTCTCGGTGATGTAGTGGATGGAGCGTCGGCCCGGAGGGCGGAAGGTCGTGGATCACCGGTCACGTCATACCGAATACCGATACCATGCCGCAGTTTACATGAATACCCACCTAAGACACAGCATACTGACTCCGAGCCGACCAATCCTGGTTTTTATGTGTTCAGCTCCGCATTTTATAGACAAAAAATCCTATCTCTAACACCTCTCCTACCTACAACGCATTATGGTGATTCCCAACAGGTAAATTATTGATGTTATGAAAACATTATTTTTTTTTTCTTCTTTCATATTTGGATCGGTATTGCTAATTGTACATTGAGCAACAATCGTACTCAGGGCTTTAGTATTTTAATGAGCGTGATGGTTACCGCTATTGGGTAGTTGCTGAATACATTGATAAGATAACATAGTGTGGGAAGAGTTTGAGAACCGTTTGTATGTTTATCAACCTGCTTACTGGTACGTTAAAACATAGATGAAGTGACACGGTTGAGTGAATGAATCAGTTAATTTCAATTTACGCCGGTTTTAGGCATGAACTTCACAAGACGAAACGAACACTTTAACCACTCTCCCGTTATTAACTAACGATAAGTCGAGTGATTCATCCTCCGTTCGCGAACTTGATCTGTTGACGACATCCCATGGACATGCATAACCTCCTGCATTTATTACACTTATGTTCTTTGATGCACTTGGAAGATCATTCAGCTCCACGGTAGGAAAAGGAGGGGAAGGAGGCTTAACTGATGGTTGTGGTTTAATTCGAGTTTCCTGTTTTCTTTTTACGAGAAACACGATGATGATGACGACGATGATAAGAAACACTATCCCACCCACAATGCAGGCAACCATAATTATAGTGGAGCTTGTGGCTGGTCCAACGTTTTCTGCAACGTTAAAAAGGCGTTTAAGTCATAGTTCGATACCCTTCCTTAAATAAAAATACATAAGTTGTATTTGAGAAAAAACAGACACAAAGCCAAACAGCATGGGCATACTATCGGCTTATGATGACTGTAACAGAATGTTGAATGAAAATCCCACGATTTGGCGACTGTTAAACGTCAGATTACAATGCCCTTAATCGCTTTCTACACTACGAGAATGTGTCTTGTGTACGGGGTATAAATCAACGCGACCCAGCCGCCGCCGCCATATGCAGGGATTGCGTCCACCTTATGCATGTTGCGTGTTTTGTATGGATTGAACTGGTAGCTCTATTATAGTATCAACAACGAATATATACACAATATGCGAGTACACGCACAACACTAGTGTTTACCGGAACACCAAAGTAGACATTGACAATATACTGATGTAAACAATGTACCCTTCGTGTTCTAATGATATGTCCCTGTCGTATAACCATTGATATTTTGACAGTGAAGATCCGGTTTCGAATTGCTCTTTAGCAACCCATTCGTGTTGTGAGTGGCCACTGGTAAGGCTCACTGACTTGGTTGTTGTGTGTCATCTTTTTCCAGTTGTGAGATCGATGTTGTCAATCACTTAACTGTTGGGTCCATATACGAGTATTTACAGACTGTCGCGATATAACTGGAATGTTTCAGGGAGGGCGTTCAACAACAAACAAACACGGTGGTACAGGAGAAACGGTTTCTTAATATGATAATAATAAATATGATTATCAATGATATAATTTATCGATTTATTTAGAAGACAGAACATGGCTTTAGATGCAATCTCTGCTAAACATGTTATTGCTGGCTTGAAATTTCTGTTTCTACTAAACATAACACGTACAGTACGTAAAGTTGTGTGTAATATCAATTTCCGCATTTTCCAAATTAAGTATACCCTTCAGTTTTTGAAGACCCGCTTCCAAAGATAAATACTTCAATTGTTTTGTTTGAAGAACATTGATAAGGAGACAAATTAGAAAGTGATTAATTTTCTCCTTGCCGCACGCCCGGATAACACGGGAAAAGATTTAATACAACACCATTTACAAACACACTTGATCTTATATTTGCATTCATATTTTGAACAAATTGGAAGAATTTACCCTGAATACTGTATTTTAGTACTTTATACCATAACCCAACTCCCCAAACACTATCGAAGGCTTTTGAAAAATCATTAAAAGCGGAGAATAATGTGTTCTTACTTTGTTTAAGAATTTGAGTAAGCATATCCAGTACAAATATGTTACCATTTGTCGAGTAACCCTTTCTAAGTCCGGCTTCTGCCGGGGTTAAGACATTATTTATCTCAAGGCAATTATGTTATCTGGTAATGAGAACAGTGGTGAAAAGTTTTCCAAAACAGCTTAGTATAGTAGTAGGTCTGTAAGCGTTAGGGGCAGATTTGGCACTCTTCCCCTAATCAGAACACATCTAGACGTAATAGCCATTCATATATCAGCCTCTTCCATAATCAAGAGATACTTACTCTCAAGGAGTGTCGTTATGCCATCGCAGGTCAGATTCCAGTGTTTGTGTTGACAGTTGAATATCAGCCTTACACCAACCAAGTGTGTTTCGGTCACATGAAATGTTTGTGCTGCACGATCAAAACCAGCCTTGGCATGACTGACATTCAGTAAGTGTTGGACGTTCCCTGTCTGTAGAGTGAAGTTGGATGCTACAGGACAGTTGTAGCCAATAATGTCCACTGAGAGTGTCAGCTCTTCATTCAGGGCAAGTTTGTCAGTGTCCTTGTCACTTGATATGCTGCAGGTTGGAGTCTCTGAAACAGATGTAGCTTCCTGTAAAATAGTGGAGAGAGAAATATAAGAAATGAATACGTTGTTATATTCTATTTTTGAGCTACATAAATTGTATTGGTGTGCAACGAAGACTATTTCACAATAGTTGTTTTTTTTATAAGAAGATATTGACTTTTATTAACAAGACACATGTCTTGAAATAAACTGATTTCATAGTATAGTATAAACAAATGGAAATGAGGACTGCAATGTTAACATGTTATACAATTGGCGTCACCAATTCATTACATTGCGCAATAACTGTAAGTGTGGTTCTGACCTGTACTAATTTAAGCCTACTAATCAGGTTCTTTCCTTCTTTGAAATAACGTAAAAGTCTCACTGAGTTCAGTCACACCATCACAGGTTAGATTCCATTGACTGTTGTGACAGCTGAATACCAGTCTTACAATCCCCAGGTGGGAGTCCGTCACATTCAGAGTTACTGAAGGTGTGTTGTGACTAACACTTGCTACAGAGTCAGCTTCCATCAGCAGTGTTGTCACATTCCCGGTCTGGAGTGAGAAGGTGAGGGCTGTGGAACAGTAGTAGTCTTGTATGTCCACTTTGAGTGTCAGCGTCTGATACTGGGCAAGTACATCAGTGTCCTCCTGACTGGTGATGCTGCATGTTGGTGTCTCTGAAACATTACATACCACCGTAAAATGGCAACATCAATTAAATATATCGAAGACGGTTCAAATATTACATTGACATATCTTCAAAACATATTATACAATGAATCATGGCTATTGCTATATGGAGATGATCAATGGTTTAAGGTAGAAATTGCTGAATTATCACCTTGGTGTGTGTGTATGGTTTGTGCATACATTGCATTATTAAATCATTTTCAAAGCAAATACCTCTACTACGATCTTTTGTTTGGTTTTTAAGGCGGCACTCAGCAATATTATAGCTATTTAACGGCAGTCAGTAAATAATCGTGTCTGGACCAGGCAGTCCAGTGATTGAAATCATGAGCATGAACTATGCAATTGTAATATGCTGCTATGCAATAAACCAAGTCAAAGAGCCTGACTATCCGATCCATCTATTCGCCATTTACTAGCTTAAGCTACTGGGAACCTATATTCTTACACGGACCAAACGGATGACCTCTACTAAGAATCAATATGTATATAAACATCAACACTGGTCAACCTCTTATACCCCAAAGGAACGGTAACATAACGTGCGTAATGATTTTGTGTCTGTATTTCCGGCCCGTCATGGTGCCTTGCACATGAATGAGATCCATCTTCTCATTCATACTCATGACATCTCAGACCATGAAGGACGCACTGCCAAACTGATTGTGCTCCACCACTGCAGCGTCCATGTAACGTTCACTGTGCGTCGATAAGCAGGTGTCTGGCCATCTTTGTACAGCAAATTGAAACGGACTCATCCGAAAATAGTACTTTTGACAACCTGTGATTATTACAGATTATTACAGATTGTGTCTAGCCCATTGTAGCCTAGAACTGTTGATACCCATAAACGTGTACCTGTTGTCTGATGTCAGCTGGCGGATAATGAAATGTCTGTTGGGTGTCTGTTCCGTGGATTGTCACCATGCAGCTACTGGTCATCCTGTCTTGTGGAGGTTTTGGGGAGAACTGATCGAGGACAACCGCTCACAGAATGTGTCTGTTGGAAGCGAATCCAAAGCCTAGATACAACCTTTTGGAATACCCAAAGGGCCATGCTACATATCGCATATCTGATCTGCCATCCTGCAGCCATGCGGTAGCTGGATGGCAAATTACTTGGATTAAACTTCGACCACGACCCATGATGATTTGGAGTGACAGTTGCATTATTGTCGAACGCAATTGATAGCCTCGTTTAGCAAGATGAACTGCACGTGCTGCATGCTTTCTCCTGGTAAAGTGACTTTCACCAATTTCTCATTCGCTTTGATTACACAATGGTACATAATTACGTAACATTTCCACAAAGACATAGGTATTTTCCATCTGTGTTCAACAGTGTTAGACTCAGGTTCTGTATTTGAATTTGTCGTTTTACAGTGGCTTGTTCTGTCAACACTCTTTACTAGTAATGTACTGTCGCAGAGTATTTTTTACGTTCGATGTGTAGGCTTTTTTAAATCAACGCAGTACAATGTCTAAACTTTTGACGGAATGTCTTCGTGAAGAACATTCCGAATGCTGCCACTGTCGATCGAGGATGGTGAATACTATTTATTTGTGTTTGTTTGGAAGGATCATAGCCAAAACGGATGTTCACTGATAAGCAGTTATATGTTGATTTATTGCTTGATATTACTTGGGCGTTTCCCCTTGCGTAATTACCGTGACTTAACTGACGAAACGCCAAGTGCAAATTTAGGGAGTAGATACCCACAATGCAGCGACAAACAGACATTTGATAACACTGGTACACAACTCATATATACCTTATGCAACACAACTATCATGCATGCACCGATTACATTTTCTTCACATTGATAAATGCAATATTACGTTTTTATTAAGGAAACGTTTCATTTTATTCCATCATTCTTGGTGTCAACAATTATAGTATGTCATATAGCGGGAGACATATGGAAGTTGACAGAAGTACAATTTTTTTTAGGAAGATTCATTGCCAGAATGCCCAACACTTGACACTATCGGGTTGTTTCATTATTTTGCTCTTGATTCCAACTGAATTTACAGTCATTTATACAAAATTTATACTGTTTCACGAATAACACATCGGTTTATAAGTAAACTACATAATTATGGCACTGTTTCTTTTGGACACATTTAACTCACCACGCCCACGCCCACGCCCACGCCCACGCCCACGCCCACGCCCACGCCCACCGGGGCGCTCTTCTTTTATAACTGCTGAATGTCGGGGAATCCCAATATTACAGTTGAGGGAATTCCCTTTCTGCTCACGTGTATCGTCACGCACGGAACATTTAGCCACATTCAAACATATATTTATTGTCCAAACTACCCTTTGAAATCAAAGGCCGAGAAGGAATGAAAAAGCAAACGTGCAGATTCGCTCGCCTGATTATTTTTTTCCACAACTTTTATGTCTTCTGGTTTCATTTCTAACTAGCATTTTTTTCCAAATGTGTCTTCCGTTCTCAAGGAACTAATATTTGAATCCGGCGGCCATGTCATTTGAAACAGCCGCTTTCTCCCGGACATATTTCTTCCGGTTCGTTGCAATCTGACTGTTACAGTTCTTCTCGCCTCCGGCCATAATTGACAGGTCCCATGAACATTGTTTTGATCTTACTCCCTGTTGATTGGCTACTGACTGCGTAGGCGTGTCAAGTTATGTGCATAAATTAAACGATCACCTGATTCATGTCATGTCACAGTTTGTTTTCATACACCTGGGTTGTATAGCAATCTCGTCATTGTTGTCTGTTTTGATATATACAACTGTTTTGGTTAACCTATTGGAGATAAAACATTTGTAACGTTGTCAAGTTTAAATATAAGCATTGACTGTGTATTTTGTACGGTTAATTGAGGTAGATTTTAACAATTTAAACATTATAACCCAACATGCATAAATACGGTAATGAAATTGATGGTTGGTACTTCTTTGTTCTTGTTTTATTTGCCTGTTAACGGGAGCGCCAAATCCGTTGTCAATGAACCGTGTCTGAACCCTAATTGGTCCTGGGAACACAAAGAGAAGTTTTCCTCCTAACTATTACATTTAATATTATTTAGGCGAGTGTAATTTGTGTTTTTACCATGGGTATGGAATTTGGATCTTACTTCACACTTATAAATCAATGCAGTTACACGAAACAGTAACAATAACCGGACAACAGACACAAATATGAGAGACAGTGTGGAGAAAGACGAATATTTACAGACCGCCGTCACATAGCTGGACTAGTTCTGTGTTTCACTAAGCCTGGACGTTACATTTTTGGTACTGTCCTTTGCTCACATGGGATAGGACATCTGCTATCAGGGCAGACTAATACTGATGCATTCAGGGAAGACCATAGTGCTCAGTTTAACCTATAGAGTTGAAATGATGTTTAACGTGGCGTTCAAGATTAATTCACTCATATAAAATATCTGTCCATGGAATAGCATAACATACACTACAACTGTAGAATCTGTGACCTTAGATATTATAAAAATCAACTTCGGATTCATTATTTAATATAAACACAACATTTCAGCTCTACGTCTTGATCATTCATCAGGTGAAGGATTGTATAAGACAACAAGTATAATTAGGAGTGAACTATGCCTGAGTATATGATACTGCAACACGCTTTTCACAACATATCAGCTAAGCCACAAGACAAACCCTCCCTACCATTTGCTATATATATAGATAAGAAACACTTCTTGGCATGCAACGTTTTTCCTGTTAGTATGGGGCGGTCGGGTAGCCTAGTGGTTAAAGCGTTCGCTCGTCACGCCGAAGACCCGGGTTCGATTCCCGACATGGGTACAATGTGTGAAGCCCATTTCTGGTGTTCCCCGCCGTGATATTGCTGGAATATTGCTAAAAGCGGCGTAAAACCATACTCACTCACTCACTCACTCCTGTTAGTATGTATCATGTTACATTATGACTTTAAGACACAGGAGTAATGGATATTCGACAGATACACTACATAAATGTTGATTAAGATGCATACACTATGTATATCATATCTACAGTTGTGTATAAAGCCACACATACGATTAGTAAACTGACGCCTTAAAAGGAGTTTAATGCACATTATGCACAGAAACGGCTTTGACTAGAGAACGTGAGAATTCAATCGACATCACTTAAACAAGGATCCACCCAATTGCTGGTCGTAAAAGGCGTCCGAATTGGGCAACCTGTTTCCCGTTGGCTGAGACCCTGTGTCGGCAGTGGAAGGGAGTTTGGTGGTTAAGGGCGACTCCAATTAGGCCCAAACGACTCGCCCGTCGTAGGCTCAGATGACCCCCAAGGCTCAAGTGACTCCCCCATTTATTTTGAAGAATATTTATGTTTTGACAGTAATTGTGCAACAGTCTGTGAATGTCGTACACAAATAATATGTTTTCGATGATACAGCACAGTATTGTCCATGATTGCAAGCCATTTTTCTTACATATTGTGAAATTACCAGATTTTTTGTATAATAAGATTTTATGTCATAAATTTTGATTGGAGTGTAAAGTCCCGCATTATGTAAGGAATTACACATGAGAACAGGTTCAACTTACTCTGACATACTTTTAAAATTCAAAAAGGATAACAATAATTATATATCATATATATCATATATATGGGGGTTAAAATTTCTGAAGCTGTTGCTAAGGAATCGAATACAGGTTAAATTGAGCTATCTGAACCTGACATGGGGAATAATCTGAGCAAGGTTGTGAAGTTGTATTAGCTTTATATTATCGGGTGTAAGTACAGGGAGTAATCTGAGTGTGATACAAAAATCAAACATGCAGAATAGCGAGAGTAATATGAGCCTAATAATTAAAAATTGGATGTAATAAACGGGGAGTAGTCTGAGCCTGATACCCCAAAATTAAAGAAAAATAGCGTGAGTTATCAGAGCCTGGTTGGAAGGTTGTAGGACAGGTGAAGTAGTCGGAGTCTCTCACTATAGTATCGGATATAAGTAGGGAGAGAAATCTGAGTCTGATGCTAAATAATGGGATATAGTATAGGCATAGTAGTCTTAGTCTGCAAGTAAAACATTTGGATGTAGGAAAACGGGAGTAGTTCGAGCCTGACATTCAAGAATCGGATATATAACAGTGGGAGTAGTTTGAGCCTGGTACTCAAGAATCGGATATAGAACAGTGGGAGTAGTTTGAGCCTGGTACTCAAGAATCGGATAAAGAAGAGGGGAAGTAGTTTGAGCCTGATACTCAGGAATCGGAAAAAGATTAGGGGGAGTAGTTTGACCCTGATACTCAAGAATCAGATATAGAATAGGGGGAGTAGTTTGAGCCTGGTACTCAAGAATCAGATATAGAACAGTGGGAGTAGTTTGAGCCTGATACTCAAGAATCAGATATACAATAGGGGGAGTAGTTTGAGCCTGATACTCAAGAATCAGATATAGAATAGGGGGAGTAGTTTGAGCCTGGTACTCAAGAATCAGATATAAAAACATGTGGGAGTAGTTTGACCCTGATACTCAAGAATCAGATATAGAATAGGGGGAGTAGTTTGAGCCTGGTACTCAAGAATCAGATATAGAACAGTGGGAGTAGTTTGAGCCTGGTACTCAAGAATCGGATATAGAAGAGGGGAAGTAGATTGAGCCTGATACTCAGGAATCGGAAAAAGATTAGGGGGAGTAGTTTGACCCTGATACTCAAGAATCAGATATAGAATAGGGGGAGTAGTTTGAGCCTGGTACTCAAGAATCAGATATAGAACAGTGGGAGTAGTTTGAGCCTGGTACTCAAGAATCGGATATAGAAGAGGGGAAGTAGTTTGAGCCTGATACTCAGGAATCGGAAAAAGATTAGGGGGAGTAGTTTGACCCTGATACTCAAGAATCAGATATAGAATAGGGGGAGTAGTTTGAGCCTGGTACTCAAGAATCAGATATAGAACAGTGGGAGTAGTTTTAGCCTGGTACTCAAGAATCGGATATAGAAGAGGGGAAGTAGTTTGAGCCTGATACTCAGGAATCGGAAAAAGATTAGGGGGAGTAGTTTGACCCTGATACTCAAGAATCAGATATAGAATAGGGGGAGTAGTTAGAGCCTGGTGCTCAAGAGTCGGACATAGAATAGGGGGAGTTGTTTGAACCTGATGCTCAGGAATCGGAAAAAGATTAGGGGGAGTAGTTTAACCCTGATACTCAAGAATCAGATATAGAATAGGGGGAGTAGTTTGAGCCTGGTGCCCAAGAGTCGGACATAGAATAGGGGGAGTTGTTTGAGCCTGGTGCTCAGGAATCGGAAAAAGATTAGGGGGAGTAGTTTAACCCTGTTACTCAAGAAACCGATACAGAGCAGGGGGAGTAGTTTGAACCTGGTACTCAAGAATCGGATATAGAATAGGGGAAGTTGTTTGAGCCTGATACTCAGGAATTGGATAAAGATTAGAGGGAGTAGTTTGACCCTGATACTCAAGATTCGGATATAGAATAGGGGGAGTAGTTTGAGCCTGGTACTCAAGAATCGGATATAGAATAGGAGGAGTAGTTTGAGCCTGATACTCAAGAATATCTGGTAGTAAAACATCTGATACATAAAATTGGAGATTGTTCTTAACCTGACATTTCAGAATAGAAAGTGAAGAAGAGGGGTTGAAAACCTTTATAATACAAAATATGTTTGATCTTTTCTGTAATCATTTTATTTCAAAACAAGCAACGTCATTTGGGCCCAGTAGGGAAGTTAGCTGAGCCTAGAGGGAGTGTTGTGAGCCTGACTTGGGGAGTCATGTGAGCCTAGGCCCATACGACTCTTGACTCAAATTTAGGGGAGCCGTTTGAGCCTACTATACAAGCAATAGTGCTCCTTAGTCCAACACACCACTTCGACCCTACATTTGCCAAGACGGGAGGTAGAATGAACCCGGTTCTATCAATCGGCTGGTCATGTCCCAATGACCTTAGTGGAAGGGACCATTTTCCAAAAACACTTACAACTATAAATACCGCTGACGAACCACCTTCAACAAGATGCAATTTTACGAAGGCTAATTGGTCTTTATTCCAAACATTATGTGCAGAAAAACTAAAAACTTAAAACCTTACAATTATATCACCTTACTGTCTTCTCCTCCCTGGCAGATAGTGGAGCCAGAGGTAGACCTCACTCTAACCCAGCTAAAAAAGTCAGAAACTAATATTTTCAAGTAACAAGTTACGGCCAAAATATACTTCTCACAGATCCATTTTTACAGGTGGGTCCAAGGATGGTCGCAGAGTTGTAAGTGCCACCATCATTGGATCCAGGTCTGTCTCATCAAGAATGCCAGATAATAGTTCATTTTTTACTGCTTAGGCCAAAACTATCCTTAGAGCTTTGACCTATTCCAAACATCAAAACCAATCTAAAAAACTCATCATCTTCTCTGATTCGTTGTCTTGCCTTCTGACACTTAAAAGTATCTTATCATATCACCCAATTATTCTAGACATTTTAGAACTACATAATATTTTTTCTACTGGCCAATGTGACATCGTCTTTTGCTGGTTACCAAGTCTTGTAGGTGTAACAGGTAACTCAAACGCCGATGCTGCAGCTACGGCACGGTGATTTCAAACCAACCACCAAGAGTTATATTCGGGATCTCATGCAAACGAGGTGGGACACCCAGGTAGGAAGCAATAGACATCACCAATTAAAACCCAAAATCGGTCATACCTTCTTGAGTTGATGAGGACGAACCTTCTAAGTGTATCCCTTGTGATGAAAGATTCACCGTCAAACATATATTGCTTGGCTGTGTGAACTTTGCAATCACAAGGGATTCACATTATCTAAGTGTAAATCTGAATTGTCAGCGTGCATCTCATCATCAACTACTTGAAAAAAATATATGTATAATCAATATTGAATATATATGTGAATAATTAAATGCTTGTTTTTGAATTTGGTGTGGGGTATTATCAACTGACATAACTGAAGGCTCTGTCCAGGGGGTAATCGTTGTAAAATTATTGTCTTCCTGTGTGACACATAATCCTATTATACTCGATGTAACTATCATCAATCAGTGTTTTGAGTGTTTTTGATATTGGCTACTTTTATGCTCAACCACCTGTAATTAAGGTGATGATGTAAATCCTGCTGAGGTATCATGCAGGAAGCTGAGGTACTGTAAGTCTCCTTGATCCCCAGCAAGGTGGCCTGTCTCTGGTTACTTGGGACCTATAGCCCGTGTTTTAAAACTGTATATATGATATTGCTATGCTCAAATATGTTTCATAAATTGTTTTTTAAATATAACTGTGCATAAAAGACTGAATTGTGAACATATTAACTTGGTCTCGTCACTATGTAACCTACTTTGTGTATCCCCATTCAAAAAACATTTATGATTATGAATCAATTTCAAACATAAGACCAAAAGATATTGTCTCATCATTTAGTGAATATCAGTTTAGGCCAATGTCAAGAATCCACAGATGTTCCACCTACTTGCGACTTGAAGACTACAAGAAGTATTTTCACTAGTTGCGCCCTCTGCACATGCCCATGTGCCTGCATGTGGTGGTTCTACATTAAGTATCCTGATAGACGTGTGAGTTGCGTTAATGAAGCTTGCTTTAAACCCATTCACAGTTGTGCAGCCAGAAAATGATGCTTCGCACGCTGGGGCTCTCAGTTTCCCAGGTCCCTCATATATTAGATTGGTAAAGGGTTTGGAAGTCGAGCAGTTCAACTGTGTAGAAGAACCAAGGAAGGAAATGTCAGGACAGAGGAACTGAAATGTACCTGTAGAGAACATATAGACACATCAGAAATCCAGTGAATCCATGTAGGTTTAAGGTTTATAGTCATGGCATATACATGTTCACAAGTAAATCAACTAATCATGCTTTTTATTCATTCACAAAAGACAGTCACGTAATTTTACACCAATATAATGTCAGAATTCAGTCATAATTGAGTGTTGATAGAACATTACACATGACGTCCTATAAGCAGTCTCTAATGAACAATTTGTTTTACTATTTCATAACTTACAGTTTGATAGATGCATAAACCATGCAACGAAAAGAACGTGGATGTCAAATATCGGCTTCAGCTGTAAAAACGAGGTACAAGATAAATTAATAAAAAAAAATATGTGTGTCATATATTTGCGATATCCGTACGATGTAAGTTATATCGTCAAATCCCACATCAGTTACATCTTAACAATCAACACGTATTTCTGGAACTATTAATCCTGTACTTCTGTTATTTTACATGTATAAAAACAAGGCTTATTTCCAGAATAATATATCCTTTATACATTAATAATTAATGGACGTTGTAAATCGATACATTTAATAAATTATTCTATTATTACAATTGCCCAGCGATTCTGTGTTGTATTCGAGGCCTGTTGTAAATTGATGTCCATTTACATATTTAAAGAACATTTTCAAAACCCATGTACGCATGTACGCTTATCAGATAGCTACGCGATAAATGGTAAGAACAATGAAGAATGAAGCGAGGTTTATTTCATGCCAAAACATTGTTCTATCGGTTCGAACATGCGCTCACCATTTGCTGACGTCGTACTAGCCTCAGTCCAAGACTAGCCCTGATTTGTTTTGAGAGGGGAGTGGTAAGTGAGTTGTTCCCCATATACGTAGCAGGGCAACGTCGATAAAAGCGATGGCTGAACCATGGCATCCGAAACCGGGAGAGATATGACAATCGGTATTGGGAGTAAAGGTACAGGTTATCGAAGTGAGGATTGTGAGAATATGCGGGAAATACCCACATGTTCATAAAATAGACTTGTCTGACGCTGCCGAGGTCGGATTCTATTGAGTCATCGTTATTTAAATAGCGGTTAATATTGTTAAAGCTTGTACATTTTATGTACATCCTTCAATAGGCTGTACATAATGTTGATATTTCATATAAGAATTAATCAACTCGTTTATCATATAATAAAACACCGTAGGGAAAATAAACAACTCTGAGCTAACATGATGGATTGATATGGATTCCTTAGCAGTTCTGCATACATACATGTAGCAATAATTTCAGATATGTTTGTATATTGTTTTTGGAATATTACACTGAATTGAAGGAAATAGTACAAATTGGATGGCTTTTCGTGAAAACTATCAAATCATACCAAAAACGTGACAATTCTCCATGAACTTTAAGTGTATTTTATTTCCCTGACTATGCTGAAGCCAAATGTCTGTCTTATATTATTAATTTCTCTGGCTAGAAAACAAGAAGAAGTGCATATATGAAGACGTACATTTTAGCTTTTGCTCCCTTCATTGGATCACAATAAAGGTTTAACTTAAAGCAGTAGGATCTTTACTTATCTGTTACGATACTTGCCCATGTGAGTCGACCATCAAGTGCATTTATGTATTGCATTTATGTTACGGCGAGTCAGCTTGTTTTGGGAGGAAAGACAAAAGTGATCCAGGTCTTACGTGTCTTCCACTTTGGTGAATCCCACGGACATGGGGTTTGTGCTGCCAAAACTAAAACCATAATTCAAGCCAACGCGTATAGGCTGTTACATGCCTAAAGGATGCAACTCCCCGCAACAAATTACGGCAACCAAGACGACTTGGCCCTACCGACCATCAAAACAGATGAGGGAGTCCTATTGTGGTCGATATAATTCTAGCCCACACCAATAGTCTAGCTGCACATAGGTTCCACTACCTTGTGGTAAATATGTCTCCAAACACGATTTCTCTGTAAAGTCGATAAATAATCTCAAAGTGATAGCGAAATAAACGACGTTAAACATTAGCAGCTGTGTTGATCATGGGGTGATGAGACGCAGCTTTCAACCGACTGCGCACATTTCATCCGTCAACAAGTATGTGCATTAACCATGCCTATTGCAAATTATAGGCTAGTGCTATGTAGTGTCTTACTATGATGACTACTGTTGGAATTTGTAGTCATTCTCTCACAGTAACACGGTGCATTCATTTTCCGCGAGTACTTTGCGTTTGGGGATTTTAACGGGATTAATGACTTGCATAAATGATTGAATTTGACTGCTATATGAACGGTTCTTAGTCACTCATCATCATCAGTAAATGTGCACGTCATGGTGTAATGTCTAAGTGCCACCTTTAAGAAATAACAATATGAACATGTTTACATCTGGTGCCATTCACATAATTTTCCTATTTTAACTTTAATCGAGACTGATTACGGTATGGGGTTGAAGTTTCTTGTATATTTACTTCTATTTAAATTGTCGATAATGATCCATCTTTACGTGATATTATCATAAACCATACAAACTATGTTTCAAGACAGATGACGCATCCGTAAACATCGACAAGCTTAATCAAATATGTGCACAGAAACGTTTCTTAACAAACACGTTATGTTGAGCTCATAAAACGGAAATAATCAAAACCCAAACATTGAAATATACACATTTACATTACCCAACCCAGACCACAGTCTTAGTGTTGAAATAGTCATGTCCGCTGGAGATCTCGTATCTGGGTCCTCGCACATTGGGCTGACATGCCGTGATATAACTTGAATACTGTTCAGCCACACTTTGATACTGGCTACTAAATGTCAGCCAGTGTTGTCAACTCCTATCGCATAACTATGTTTGTCGACATTTCCTCAAAAACGTTTATGCCCTTCTCATATCCATTAATGAATGTGCATATCTACAAACGTATGAGCAGTGTCCATATATATCAATTCGTCTTTTTCTAGTGGCATACATTATATAAATACATATGGAACTTATTATTTATACATGCCTGTTTCTTCTTCAGAAAGATTTCATCAAATTGCACGTATTCTCTAGTATCGACATTGCCATTCTCGTTTCATTCACAATTAACAGACCTTTCCCATACGGAAATACATACACCTATAATATGTATGTATATATTATACCCACCTTCATGGCTGTAAAGAACCGCTGATGATATCCACTACGGTCATGGGTTACAAAGTAACATCAAAACAGTCTTGCCTATCGTGTCACGTTCGAGGAAATCGCCATACCGTGTGCACCCCTCAACATCCTTTACCACGCACTGGTACAGCTATACTGAACAGAGGCATTTTACGCATGTACCGCAAGGGAGATAACTGTTCTATCACCAAAACTACCACGTGGTGTTGATAATTGTCAGTCACGCGATCGCCCGATATACCTTCCTAGACACATATGTAAACACAAGCGTGTTTCTCTTGTTGAATTGATTTGTTTGTCCTGTACATATAGTTATTTCGATTAGTGTGTCTAATTCTATTATTTTCATATTCATAAGAAATAAAATAAAGGCGAAAGGGTGAGCGTATCCTACCCCACCAGTGGCACCCATCACAAACACCAGATAAAAGTCAAACAAGGGAATTGAAACGGTCATAATTTTGATTACGATGAATAGAGTTTGCTCCACCCCCACATGTAGTGTAGCGCTGCTTATTGTACGTCGATGTGTTTTCTGTCGTTAAATTGCAACTGCAAGCCATGGAATAGTGAGTGTGGTTACTGGGTTGCACTACATGAATACCGAAACCGACGGAATCGACGGCTGGGGCCTATGGCTAAAGGAAATCGACAGTTGTCGTTTTGTTTGACTCCAGTATGTTGTTAAATGCCAAACTCGGAGCAACTGATGTATGTGTGGTTATGAAACTCTTTAAGGATTATTAATGAAGTGTCCAGAGACAGTCGACAATTCAACTTCCGCCTCGAACAATTGTATGACTTCTGTGTGGTGTGTGTACGTTTGGGAAAACCCCGCGGCATGAATGATGGTTGACATCATTTTGCCATATTGAGAAACTATTTCACCGAGAACCGTTTTGGATACACCATCTTGCTTGACAATAGTGAATGAACGATGCTACCAAGGATACGTTCGTTCACGTGGAAGGTAATTCTAACAGTGACGTGACGGCAGCCCATTATGACATAACTCAACACGTGTACTTTATCGCAGGATAAAGTACAGTCGGCGCCTTTGATCTTCTATCGAAGCATCTTGAAGTGTATTTTGAAGTCGGAAGCGTACAATCATGCTATTGGAGACGAAAGCATTCCTAAGTCTGCAGACCCTCATATACGTAAACCATGGTTTGACAATGATTTTAAACAAGCTAAAAAAAATAGGAAGAAAGCCGATACATATTTCCACTGTCATCCAAGTGTCTTCAAATTGAATAATGTTACAACCACTGGCTCTAAAGCGAGACGTACCTTTAAACAGAATAAACGTCAATACTGGAGGAACTATGTATCAAAAATTAATTCCCACACACCCAATTCCAAGGTGGAACATGATTCAAAAGATTACGGGCAAAGGATCCAAATCTGGAGTTCACCATCTCAAAGATGGTAATACAATTTTAAGTACAAATTCTGCAATTGCCAACAAACTTGGTGAAACTTTAGCAAACCATTTGCTGCTATGTTTATTCTTATTCCAAAGCCTGGACGGGATTATACAGATACAATTGCGTTTTTCACCCAGTCCAACTTGATTCCACCACACATCGTTACAGCTAAAATAGATCTAAATATTATATCACCTTACTGTCTTCTCCTCCCTGGCAGATAGTGGAGCCAGAGGTAGACCTCACTCTAACCCAGCTAAAAAAGTCAGAAACTAATATTTTCAAGTAACAAGTTACGGCCAAAATATACTTCTCACAGATCCATTTTTACAGGTGGGTCCAAGGATGGTCGCAGAGTTGTAAGTGCCACCATCATTGGATCCAGGTCTGTCTCATCAAGAATGCCAGATAATAGTTCATTTTTTACTGCTTAGGCCAAAACTATCCTAAGAGCTTTGACCTATTCCAAACATCAAAACCAATCTAAAAAACTCATCATCTTCTCTGATTCGTTGTCTTGCCTTCTGACACTTAAAAGTATCTTATCATATCACCCAATTATTCTAGACATTTAAGAACTACATAATAATTTTTCTACTGGCCAATGTGACATCGTCTTTTGCTGGTTACCAAGTCTTGTAGGTGTAACAGGTAACTCAAACGCCGATGCTGCAGCTACGGCACGGTGATTTCAAACCAACCACCAAGAGTTATATTCGGGATCTCATGCGAACGAGGTGGGACACCCAGGTAGGAAGCAATAGACATCACCAATTAAAACCCAAAATCGGTCATACCTTCTTGAGTTGATGAGGACGAACCTTCTAAGTGTATCCCTTGTGATGAAAGATTCACCGTCAAACATATATTGCTTGGCTGTGTGAACTTTGCAATCGCAAGGGATTCACATTATCTAAGTGTAAATCTGAATTGTCAGCGTGCATCTCATCATCAACTACTTGAAAAAAATATATGTATAATCAATATTGAATATATATGTGAATAATTAAATGCTTGTTTTTGAATTTGGTGTGGGGTATTATCAACTGACATAACTGAAGGCTGTGTCCAGGGGGTAATCGTTGTAAAATTATTGTCTTCCTGTGTGACACATAATCCTATTATACTCGATGTAACTATCATCAATCAGTGTTTTGAGTGTTTTTGATATTGGCTACTTTTATGCTCAACCACCTGTAATTAAGGTGATGATGTAAATCCTGCTGAGGTATCATGCAGGAAGCTGAGGTACTGTAAGTCTCCTTGATCCCCAGCAAGGTGGCCTGTCCCTGGTTACTTGGGACCTATAGCCCGTGTTTTAAAACTGTATATATGATATTGCTATGCTCAAATATGTTTCATAAATTGTTTTTTAAATATAACTGTGCATAAAAGACTGAATTGTGAACATATTAACTTGGTCTCGTCACTATGTAACCTACTTTGTGTATCCCCATTCAAAAAACATTTATGATTATGAATCAATTTCAAACATAAGACCAAAAGATATTGTCTCATCATTTAGTGAATATCAGTTTAGGCCAATGTCAAGAATCCACAGATGTTCCACCTACTTGCGACTTGAAGACTACAAGAAGTATTTTCACTAGTTGCGCCCTCTGCACATGCCCATGTGCCTGCATGTGGTGGTTCTACATTAAGTATCCTGATAGACGTGTGAGTTGCGTTAATGAAGCTTGCTTTAAACCCATTCACAGTTGTGCAGCCAGAAAATGATGCTTCGCACGCTGGGGCCCTCAGTTTCCCAGGTCCCTCATATATTAGATTGGTAAAGGGTTTGGAAGTCGAGCAGTTCAACTGTGTAGAAGAACCAAGGAAGGAAATGTCAGGACAGAGGAACTGAAATGTACCTGTAGAGAACATATAGACACATCAGAAATCCAGTGAATCCATGTAGGTTTAAGGTTTATAGTCATGGCATATACATGTTCACAAGTAAATCAACTAATCATGCTTTTTATTCATTCACAAAAGACAGTCACGTAATTTTACACCAATATAATGTCAGAATTCAGTCATAATTGAGTGTTGATAGAACATTACACATGACGTCCTATAAGCAGTCTCTAATGAACAATTTGTTTTACTATTTCATAACTTACAGTTTGATAGATGCATGAACCATGCGACGAAAAGAACGTGGATGTCAAATATCGGCTTCAGCTGTAAAAACGAGGTACAAGATAAATTAATAAAAAAAAATATGTGTGTCATATATTTGCGATATCCGTACGATGTAAGTTATATCGTCAAATCCCACATCAGTTACATCTTAACAATCAACACGTATTTCTGGAACTATTAATCCTGTACTTCTGTTATTTTACATGTATAAAAACAAGGCTTATTTCCAGAATGATATATCCTTTATACATTAATAATTAATGGACGTTGTAAATCGATACATTTAATAAATTATTCTATTATTACAATTGCCCAGCGATTCTGTGTTGTATTCGAGGCCTGTTGTAAATTGATGTCCATTTACATATTTAAAGAACATTTCCAAAACCCATGTACGCATGTACGCTTATCAGATAGCTACGCGATAAATGGTAAGAACAATGAAGAACGAAGCAAGGTTTATTTCATGCCAAAACATTGTTCTATCGGTTCGAACATGCGCTCACCATTTGCTGACGTCGTACTAGCCTCAGTCCAAGACTAGCCCTGATTTGTTTTGAGAGGGGAGTGGTAAGTGAGTTGTTCCCCATATACGTAGCAGGGCAACGTAGATAAAAGCGATGGCTGAACCATGGCATCCGAAACCGGGAGAGATATGACAATCGGTATTGGGAGTAAAGGTACAGGTTATCGAAGTGAGGATTGTGAGAATATGCGGGAAATACCCACATGTTCATAAAATAGACTTGTCTGACGCTGCCGAGGTCGGATTCTATTGAGTCATCGTTATTTAAATAGCGGTTAATATTGTTAAAGCTTGTACATTTTATGTACATCCTTCAATAGGCTGTACATAATGTTGATATTTCATATAAGAATTAATCAACTCGTTTATCATATAATAAAACACCGTAGGGAAAATAAACAACTCTGGGCTAACATGATGGATTGATATGGATTCCTTAGCAGTTCTGCATACATACATGTAGCAATAATTTCAGATATGTTTGTATATTGTTTTTGGAATATTACACTGAATTGAAGGAAATAGTACAAATTGGATGGCTTTTCGTGAAAACTATCAAATCATACCAAAAACGTGACAATTCTCCATGAACTTTAAGTGTATTTTATTTCCCTGACTATGCTGAAGCCAAATGTCTGTCTTATATTATTAATTTCTCTGGCTAGAAAACAAGAAGAAGTGCATATATGAAGACGTACATTTTAGCTTTTGCTCCCTTCATTGGATCACAATAAAGGTTTAACTTAAAGCAGTAGGATCTTTACTTATCTGTTACGATACTTGCCCATGTGAGTCGACCATCAAGTGCATTTATGTATTGCATTTATGTTACGGCGAGTCAGCTTGTTTTGGGAGGAAAGACAAAAGTGATCCAGGTCTTACGTGTCTTCCACTTTGGTGAATCCCACGGACATGGGGTTTGTGCTGCCAAAACTAAAACCATAATTCAAGCCAACGCGTATAGGCTGTTACATGCCTAAAGGATGCAACTCCCCGCAACAAATTACGGCAACCAAGACGACTTGGCCCTACCGACCATCAAAACAGATGAGGGAGTCCTATTGTGGTCGATATAATTCTAGCCCACACCAATAGTCTAGCTGCACATAGGTTCCACTACCTTGTGGTAAATATGTCTCCAAACACGATTTCTCTGTAAAGTCGATAAATAATCTCAAAGTGATAGCGAAATAAACGACGTTAAACATTAGCAGCTGTGTTGATCATGGGGTGATGAGACGCAGCTTTCAACCGACTGCGCACATTTCATCCGTCAACAAGTATGTGCATTAACCATGCCTATTGCAAATTATAGGCTAGTGCTATGTAGTGTCTTACTATGATGACTACTGTTGGAATTTGTAGTCATTCTCTCACAGTAACACGGTGCATTCATTTTCCGCGAGTACTTTGCGTTTGGGGATTTTAACGGGATTAATGACTTGCATAAATGATTGAATTTGACTGCTATATGAACGGTTCTTAGTCACTCATCATCATCAGTAAATGTGCACGTCATGGTGTAATGTCTAAGTGCCACCTTTAAGAAATAACAATATGAACATGTTTACATCTGGTGCCATTCACATAATTTTCCTATTTTAACTTTAATCGAGACTGATTACGGTATGGGGTTGAAGTTTCTTGTATATTTACTTCTATTTAAATTGTCGATAATGATCCATCTTTACGTGATATTATCATAAACCATACAAACTATGTTTCAAGACAGATGACGCATCCGTAAACATCGACAAGCTAAATCAAATATGTGCACAGAAACGTTTCTTAACAAACACGTTATGTTGAGCTCATAAAACGGAAATAATCAAAACCCAAACATTGAAATATACACATTTACATTACCCAACCCAGACCACAGTCTTAGTGTTGAAATAGTCATGTCCGCTGGAGATCTCGTATCTGGGTCCTCGCACATTGGGCTGACATGCCGTGATATAACTTGAATACTGTTCAGCCACACTTTGATACTGGCTACTGAATGTCAGCCAGTGTTGTCAACTCCTATCGCATAACTATGTTTGTCGACATTTCCTCAAAAACGTTTATGCCCTTCTCATATCCATTAATGAATGTGCATATCTACAAACGTATGAGCAGTGTCCATATATATCAATTCGTCTTTTTCTAGTGGCATACATTATATAAATACATATGGAACTTATTATTTATACATGCCTGTTTCTTCTTCAGAAAGATTTCATCAAATTGCACGTATTCTCTAGTATCGACATTGCCATTCTCGTTTCATTCACAATTAACAGACCTTTCCCATACGGAAATACATACACCTATAATATGTATGTATATATTATACCCACCTTCATGGCTGTAAAGAACCGCTGATGATATCTACTACGGTCATGGGTTACAAAGTAACATCAAAACAGTCTTGCCTATCGTGTCACGTTCGAGGAAATCGCCATACCGTGTGCACCCCTCAACATCCTTTACCACGCACTGGTACAGCTATACTGAACAGAGGCATTTTACGCATGTACCGCAAGGGAGATAACTGTTCTATCACCAAAACTACCACGTGGTGTTGATAATTGTCAGTCACGCGATCGCCCGATATACCTTCCTAGACACATTTGTAAACACAAGCGTGTTTCTCTTGTTGAATTGATTTGTTTGTCCTGTACATATAGTTATTTCGATTAGTGTGTCTAATTCTATTATTTTCATATTCATAAGAAATAAAATAAAGGCGAAAGGGTGAGCGTATCCTACCCCACCAGTGGCACCCATCACAAACACCAGATAAAAGTCAAACAAGGGAATTGAAACGGTCATAATTTTGATTACGATGAATAGAGTTTGCTCCACCCCCACATGTAGTGTAGCGCTGCTTATTGTACGTCGATGTGTTTTCTGTCGTTAAATTGCAACTGCAAGCCATGGAATAGTGAGTGTGGTTACTGGGTTGCACTACATGAATACCGAAACCGACGGAATCGACGCCTGGGGCCTATGGCTAAAGGAAATCGACAGTTGTCGTTTTGTTTGACTCCAGTATGTTGTTAAATGCCAAACTCGGAGCAACTGATGTATGTGTGGTTATGAAACTCTTTAAGGATTATTAATGAAGTGTCCAGAGACAGTCGACAATTCAACTTCCGCCTCGAACAATTGTATGACTTCTGTGTGGTGTGTGTACGTTTGGGAAAACCCCGCGGCATGAATGATGGTTGACATCATTTTGCCATATTGAGAAACTATTTCACCGAGAACCGTTTTGGATACACCATCTTGCTTGACAATAGTGAATGAACGATGCTACCAAGGATACGTTCGTTCACGTGGAAGGTAATTCTAACAGTGACGTGACGGCAGCCCATTATGACATAACTCAACACGTGTACTTTATCGCAGGATAAAGTACAGTCGGCGCCTTTGATCTTCTATCGAAGCATCTTAGAGTGTATTTTGAAGTCGGAAGCGTACAATCGGCTTTGCTTAAAGCAGCTAGTTCTTATGACTGTGGAATGAATTTTGCAGCTTTCACTTATGCGCTCTCTGTGCCCAGAAGGATATCCATCAGGATCTATTAAAACATTCTTCTGAGCTTGGGGCACCCACTATTTTCAGACGGTCAGAGGTTCGACCATACTATCATCAACAGGATAAGCAGTATCTGTTCCCCCAGCAGTTACGCCAGAAGAGCAGCATGTCCCCTGTGTTGCTGGTTGTTGAATCTGAACACATAACAATGTTCAATTTACAAATAACCCCTATATAATTACCCACATTGGAGACAATAACAATTTTCATGAAATTAAAATGGATAATTAGGTGATATATATTGATATGTAATTTACCATTTTTTTTAAAAATCGAGGAAAACTCGAGTCTTGACCAAACAATCAATTGATCGTGGACCAGACGATTTCGTAATTCAGAGCAGAAATCGGGTAGTAATGTAGGTAGCAATTCCGATGAACAGCAAAACGTCCTAAACACAAACTATCCCGATACGGTTTTACAAATGTATGTCAACATTGAAAGAAATGATATAATCGATATTCTACCATGAATTTGGAATTTACTCGATTCTAATTTGTCAATCAGAGGCTATTAAATCACAATAAACTCCGTCTGATTGAAACAGCTGGTTTAACGGCCGCATCACCGCGGAAGCTTATATTCATACAATAGTAATATGTTCAGTCATTGTCGGTAGGCATATTTAAATGATTATATCTACAATTACATGCTACAAAATGGACAGATACGGTTACTACAATATTCAAAGGATGTGTGGCAATACATTTCGTGCAGGAAACACGATAGAAATCTACAAGGGAATGTTTTTTCGTTTTGGAGACAACAGAGAGCTCGGAATTTTGGCGCTTTTCTATAGACGACTGTGACGTCATATATTTTGCGTCACAATGGGCCATATGACGTCATAATGTTAGCTTACCAAGTTGCCGTGCTAATATGCTTTCAATGCCTGTCATATGTTCGAGTGAAGTTTTATAGTGTAAACAAACTGCTTGAATATATGCAGCACCCTGTTTTGTTTGGTTCCAAATTCAATTTAAATATACAGGTAAATAAGCTCTACATTGAAAACACAGTATGTTTATCTCCTAATTATTGTTACTGGAAAAATAACACTTGTCCCGTTGTTATGTATTTGATAGTTAGGGATGTTCGTGTTAGATTCCCGTCACCGATATCATTATAGAACTAATCGAGATCATCTAATATCAGGAGATTTGGTGCATTTCTGAATGGACCTCGGCTTCTTTAACTCTACTTCTTGCTCTTCGACAGTCTAATCTTCAGGCACTGTATGACCATCTCCTTAAACTATGTGTCATCATGCGAGATCAGAATGGTCATATTCCACTTTGAGGTTGCAATGACACCAATACCAAAGAAAATTACTAGAAGATGTTTGAAATCAAATCAATCAAAACACACACTTTATTATATTTTCAGACTATCTTTCTCGTCTTCGGGCAATTAAGAATAGTTCTTGCAACGATCAACTCTTAATCGAAATTATAGATTATATAACCATCTTGCTACTGGCGAATACGACATCGTTTTTTGTTGGTTACCCAGTCAGTCAGTCCAGATTTGAAGAGGTAATAATGAGATCATGTAGTGACATTTCGAGTATATTTACTGAAGGGTAAAGATCATCCGTTCTGTGTCCCTTTTGAATAGAAAATAGCAGTCAAGCATGTTTTACTTAAATGGGTTGATTAAATGGATAAACAAGTGATAAATATTTCAAGTCATCATCTTGGTGGGATGTTAGCATTCATTTAGTTCATTGGTTTTTTAGAAGAAACAGAATTGTCTCATACATTTCGATGAACATGTTCTGTATATTTTATATTTTTTTTAAATTGGAAGAATAAATAAGCAACTGAGTTTGCTATTGATTGTATTCTTGTGGAGTTTTCAAGAAGTATATATTCGCCTATCTCTTTTTAATCGTAGAATATTTGTTGATTCTTTTTTCAGGCTAAATTTACCAACACTCCCCAGAAGTTGAAGGGGTGATGTAAATCCAGGTAGGGGTACCATGCAGGTAACAGCGGTATTGAAGGACACATTGTCCCCGGTATGGTGGCCTAACTTTGGTTGTTTGTGATCTACAGCCCTTTTTTAATAATGTATGGTTTTGTATTGTGATATATTTTAAGGGGTTACATACCTGTTTAAAATATATGTTTACTGTCATTTGTTGACAGGTTTAATAATATAAATGTATTTCTATTGGTGTATATGGCTGAAATACTGCTCACGTAACCAATGATCTTCTCACTCTCTTACTCACAAAACGCCAGGTAGCTTAGGTGACAGACCCAGGTCAGATCAGGTCATACGTTAAGTCAAAAGTAGCCTACATAAGATGATACTTTGACTCTACACCATCATCAAAAGTGTCTTTAGTGATGTTAAACACGCAGATTGAGAACTGATGCATCGAGATGCAAGAAGAGCCAAGGTGCATCGAAGTCGCCATGAACGCTTTTGCTGATCAATAAACATGAAATTGAGGATTCAGATGTAACCTGACAGTTAGTCAATCGTGATGGATTGAAACAGACAGATGTGCGCGTTGCACTGGCGAGTCGGAAGAAGCGCGATGACAAGATGCCCGAGTATTGCGTTAATCACTGTAGACACGGTTTCGCAGAAACATAAACTTTTACAAAATAAAAAAATATTAAGAAACAGCTTAGCGTTTGCAAAAGTGTACATTGGCAATGGCTGTCGCAAGATGAACTGATTACCACATCCAACGTGAATACTATCATTAAAGAAATGGGTACACAGAGATCTTTCCGTTTCCATGGAAAGAGATTGGTTCATACTAAAGCCTAGGGGGCCCTGCGGCTGGGGTTCTGGAACACCGCGGGATGGTCCCAGAAAGATAACAGTAACAGACAGTTAAGAGAATTTGTATTGTTATGTCAGAACTATGATGTGTTCGGTGAGTGTGAGACGTTTCTAGAACACAACTCTTCATTAAGTGTTGACGGCTACACTTGGTTTGGAAACAATCGCCCCATAAACAAAAAGAAATCAAAGCGTGGGTCCGGAGGAGTCGGGGCCTTTTTCAAAAATATCTGTTCATTATGATTTTATTGTTGACATTTTAGATTAAAACAAGGAAGATATTATGTGGTTCAAGTTAACGTCAAAGTATGATGACAATTTTAGTTTTGTTGTATCTGCCGCCCATATGTTACAGTTGTGTGAATGATTGTGATTTGTTTGTTTTTTGACAAATTATTAGAAAGCGTTTACATGTATCAAAATGTAGGGAAAGTATTCCTGTGTGGTGACTTAAATGCCCGTGTTGGAGCAGAATTGGACTTTTTGGAAGGTGTAGATTCAGTTCCAGAATGAGGAGTAATAGACTTTAGCTACAATTCCTTTCGCTCGTTATTTATTGATTTCATGACAGAATGAAATTTGTGTACTGTCAACGGTCGGCTTGGAGAGCAAGATTTTACCTATGTGCCAAACGTCAACAAACGATCCTCCATTCTAACATGGGACATTTCTTTTCCTGAAAGTCACCGCAGTGCTGTTCGTGACACCACGAATGAGAGATGTTTACACACACAGTCTAAGAAATATAGGCAGGATAGAATTCCAGAGTCGTTTTTACAATGTGATGAAAGTGTAAGCAAACTAAACCATAGCTAAAATAGAAGGTAAACTGTCTTCGCAAAATGACGTGAATGCATCTTATATTTACTTTGTAAGCTTTATGCACGTCGACGATGTGGCAGGTTGTTCGAGTTACAGAAGACCAGGCAGTGCTAAGAGTAAAGTGTGTGCTATGCTGTACTGGTCAGATCAGCTTCATTGTTTGTAGGACAGTTCTTGTGATGCCGAGCGCCAGTGGTTAAAGTGCAAGTCGTCAATAAGGAAACGAGAACTTAAGCATGACTTTATTTCTGCTAGGAAGTT